CTCTGATTGAGTCGGTTTTTATTCGTGTGAGCTTGTATTTGTTCGGGCTTCGCTCAGATAAGCTTGGATTTGGAATCCAAGGAGGGCCTGATGTTGACTTTTATTGACTTTTTGGGGAAAATGTAAAGATCATAACTTTATTTATTGTAATTGGTTTCTCTTGCATTGTTTGATGTTATTAAGTTAGTTTTTGGTTAGATTTGAGCCGTGTGGAGGCGAATTTTAGTTGAAAAGCTATTTTGGAGGGTTGAGTTTGCGTAGTTGAGGTAAGTATCTTGCCTAACTTTGTGTCGGGGAAACTACCCCTTAGGATTTGGGTTGATTGTGCTATTTGTGGTATGTAAAAGCTGTGTACACAAGGTGACGAGTGGGTAGACATGCTATATGTGGTGTTTGACAGGTTTAGATTATCTAGACTCTTTCCATGCCTTTAATTGAATTTTCACAACATGTTATATCTCTAATTGTTAATCTACTCTTACATACTCTATTTGACGGTGTTAGCACTTGTTCTACCTCTTACTTGTTATTTTACTCTTATATGCTTTAGTTGAAGTTATTGCCTTCCTTATTTTCTTGTTACCTCTTAATTGTTGAATCACTTTTAATTGAAGTTGTTATTTCGTGAAATATCATCTTGTTGAGTTATTGGTATTGAAGCTGTAATAATTGTCATCACATTGAGGTGAAGCTGTTAATTGGTGAGATACCTTTCCTTGTTGAGCATTCTCATTCATTTTGTTATTTTTAAAATTCTTGTACACATTGTGGTTGATCCAATATTTGTTGTGGAAATATTGGTGTTGTTGAATTTGTGGAAAGTTGTGGCATATGGGCAGTTATGGTGCGAGTTGTGATATTGATAAGCATGTTGTGGTATAAATCTAGGGGTTGATACGCACGCAGTGAGATAAGGCGGGTTTCTTACACGTGTTGCAAGTAGGGGAACATAGTTGAAGCCATGCGGTGAGAAAAGGTAGGCCAAAACGCATGTAGCTAATTCAGGTAAAATAATTTGCAAAACTAAATGTATGGCTCAGGCGGTGATATAAGAAAAGATTGTGATTAAAATTATGAAATGTGAATACGAGGCGGTACCTCGGTTGTGATTTTCGTTGTACATTCCATGTTGAAACAACTTGTTAATTTGAACGGTCATTGTGCTTCATTCAATCATTCACCTGTATTTTGATTGTGTTTGGTTATTCGTTGTTATCTTGGTGTTGGAACGATTATGGTTTCTTGTGTGAGTCATGTATTCTACGTGATTTGTTGTGTTGCTTAACATACCAATATGTGCCTCCGTTATAACTTGGTGAATTGATTGTCAATGTGAATTTAATTGCGTGGAGTCACTATATCATATTCTGTTGAGTTGTTGATAGCATAATAGTTTTAAAAAAAGAATTATTAACATAATTTATTCTATGTACCTCTTAAGATAGAACTCTGATATTCAGCTTAATGTATGCATATTTTGATGTATATTGCCTTGCATTGTACTTATTTCTCGTAGATTTCGGATGCATAAAATAATGATTTGTGCTAATTTGTGGTATTTCTATGTGTAGGAATCATTGGGATGAAAGTGCACTAATTAGAGCAAAAATGGGAAGAAAAGGCGAAGTTGCCCAGTTGAGCGCCACAGGCAGTGTGGGGCGCTACCTGTGAGCACCTAATTTTTGACTATATTTGAATTTTTATCACCTTCTACTATGTAAATATTTTCAGAAATTTAATATATATTTTTTAGCTTTGTTACACTTTTTTATATATAGGGTAAATATTAATAATAATTTCAAAGTTCAATTATTACTATTAGTATTATTTTTATTTTTATTTTTATCTTTATTTTTAAATAAAATGAATTAAAAATAGAAAATAAATAAAAATTATTTTTTTTAAAACAAATTTCGGATGGGAATTAAAAATAGGAAAAGTAGAAATATAAAATTAAAAAGTAAAGTAAAAGTAGGTACAAATTGTTTAATAAAAAAGTAAAAGAAAGTGAAAATTTTTAAAAATAAAAGTAAAAGAATGTGGAAATTTAAAAAAATGAAAAGTAAAAGAAAGTTGGAATTAAAAAATAAAAGTAAGCGTAACTGAATTTCTTTTTAAAAAAAAAGTAAAATAAGTGGGAAATAAAAAATAAAAAAAGAGTATAAAAGTGAGAATTTAAATATAATAAAAGTAAAAAAAGTTAGAAATTAAAAAATAAAAGTAAAGGAAAGTAGGGAATTTTTTTTAAAAATAATAAGAAAAATGGTAAGTGGAGGGAATTGAGAGAAATTTATTTTTCTTTTTCTAGGATAATGAAATTTCTACTCGTGTCATTTTTTCTTCGACTTTCTTTCAAAAAATCCAGCAATTCATCACCTAAACTCCAACCCCGAACAACCTGGAAACCAAGCTAAAAAGCACCACAAAAATGAGCCGAAAACCCAGCGAAATAGTCCCCTTTTGTATAGAAAATAACAGCTTCAAAGTTGAGTCGTCGAGTTCGAGCTCCATTTGTCGATTTTGGTCGAGGCTCCATTTACATCCTTATCCATTGTCCGAGCTTCAAAACAGTCTTGTAAAGGTCCATTTACATCCTTGTAAAGATTGAATTTTTTTTTCTGTATGAATTGTTAGGTCTCATTAGCTTTATTAAATTTTGCTACTTTCTTGATGATTAACATGAAGATTGATAAAAAAGAATATGATTTTTGGCACGTAGTGAATGTTTGAACTTTGGGGATAAAATCTATATCTGCTAGTTGAAATTGAAAAATGAGGTTTAGACTTAAAAAAAATAATGATTGGGCCTGGTGGTTGGGCTTTGCTTAATGAAACATGTACTACTACAATTGACTAATTGATAGGGGAGTAGCTTGATGAACTAGTAACTGGGCATACTCATTAATTGGCTTTAAAGAACCAATTGTACTACGATCCAATTTAATTTATCTGGTCCAAAATAGTTTTTGTCAGGCCCAATTTAGTAAGAGAAAAAGTAGACCCATTTTTCACAATTGATTTCCATAGCTCTTGACCTTACACAGATCTCAATCCCGTAAGGAAAAATAAATCATGAACACGTGCTAGTTGCTTTAGACGCGATTAATAAATTATCGTGACTATGGGTATGGTTCCCGTGGCATGGTCACGATACGTAAATCCCAACTCAAGTGCGCGTTTCACGCGACTTGACTTCAACTTCGAATAATAATAAAAATAAACATGTTGTAAATCGCGGGTGCATTTCACGTTACGCGATTCACAATATGTACAAAAACAAATGAGTTTGCGACATCGCAACTTGTTCAAATAAGTTCCATAAATAATTAAAAGCGGTTAAAAGGAATAAAAATGCACATATATATTTAAAACATGTATTAAATCAGATAGCTAGGCCAATTATTAATAGTTGAGCGACCGTGCTAAAACCACAGAACTCAGGAGTGCCTCACACCTTCTCTCGGGTTAATAGAATTCCTTACCCGGTCTTCTATATTCGCAGACCATAAATAAGAGTCAAATTTCCTCGATTTGGGATTCTAAAATAAATCGGTGACTTAGGAAACCATAGATTATTCCAAGTGGCGACTCTGAATAAATAAATAATCTCATTTCGAATAATGTCACTTAAATTGGAAAAACTCCCTATCCCATATCCCCTCGGGAAAAAGGAGGTGTGAGACTACCTGTGGCGCACAAAACAATATGCTGAAGATGTTGAGCGCCAGGCTTAGCACCCCACACTGTCGTGGGTGCTCAAGATGTGAAAGGGTCCTTTTCGATGGAGACTCAGTTATTTCGACCCCAAGACGCCCCCAACTCATATAATAGCCAACCCAAACCTATTTTGGGGAGGAGGACGTGACTTTGAAAGAGAAACAAAAGTACGAAACACTCGGGAGCACGTATTTGATAAATTCTTCCATTATTCTTCTAGTGTTCATTTATTTTATGTTTGAAAACGTTATTTTTGATGATTGTATGAGCATGACTGGATAAGAACCCTATTATTCTGGGGTCATGGGTGCTACATGAATGTTTATGTTTGAAGTTTAAATTGACGAGTCTGATTTTATCATACTGGGTTATTTATTTAATTCTGTTCTTAATTATTTGTTGAGTAGCTAACCGTGAAAATACTATCTACGAATCTAGAGTTGAACTCGAATGAGGGAATTCTATATTGCATATAGGATTACATAGAGAAAGTTCTTGAACCTGAGCACCGGGGAACATATTCGCTATTAGGATACAAGTATACCTAATTAACTTGCTTGGTTGAAATACTCAAAATGTAAATACATTCTTATTAATCTTAATTCCATAGACATATAGGCATTATTTAGCTTGAATAGGCGAGTAAGAACACGATAAATTCTTATGAGTAATATCAGTCCTGTCAATTGATAATCTATAAATCAATTAGTTATTTTAAGCCAAGAATGCAATAAGATTGTCACCTAACCTATGATCCTGGAATATCCTCTCCAACTGATTGTTATTCGAAATTGCTTATGTGTTGTGGTTGATCTCTAGTTATTTCATTGCTTGATAGTTTCTTAGGTAGTAAATTTGTCATTTACACATTTTGTGAGAAATCACTTGAATCGATAAGTTATTTGAGTTTGAATCAGTTAAAAGTTAATCATAAGTCTCCATGGGAACGATACTCTACTCACTACTCTATTACTTGACGACCACGTATACTTGTGTGCGTGTGTTTGGTCGTAACAAGTTTTTGTGCCATTGTCGGGGACTTAGAAATTAGCTACTTGTCTGAGTTAAGATTTTATTAGTTATTTGTTCATGTTTTAATTTTCAGTTTGCCTTGTTTGCGTTGACGCATGCTATTCTCTTGAATGCGGAGGAGTAGAAGCGCAAATAACCTACGTCCTCTTGTTCCTGAAATTGAACGAACACTTCAGAGTGAGAAGGGAAGTCGAAGCTAGAACTAGATCGAAAGAGAGTTGGACATTGTTGTTCAACAACAACCACTAGAGATGGTAGGTAATGAAGAGCGTCTGGTGATAAAAACCGCAAGGCCCAATCTTTCTAATATGACTCAGGCTATTGTGAAGCCAGGTATCACCGGAAACTTTGTACTCAAACAGAACATGGTACAACTAATTCTGTTCATAAGACAGTATGTTGGTCTATCTCATGAAGACCCACAACGACACATTCAGAACTTCCAAGAAATTACGGACACTTACACTTATACGAATATTTCCAAGGATTACGTCAAGCTGACACTATACTGGGGGGAAGCTAAGGAATGGTTGCAAAAGGAGCCCGCGAACTCAATCTGCAATTGGGATGATCTAGCAAGAAAATTCTTAATCAAATTTTTTTCCACTAAGAAGAAAAAGTCGCCGAGGAGCTAGATTCTTGGGTTCCAACAACGGGATGGCGAGACTCTTCGTCAAGCTTGGGAAAGATACAAGAAGCTAGTCAGAGACTCCCTGCATCATTGTCAGACTAATAAGGTGTTGGGTCATACTTCATTGATGGGCCATACGATACATCAAAGATGAATCTTGACTCATCTTTTGGGGGTAGTTGCATGGCGAGGTCGTATAGTGAAATCCAGCTCCTGCTAAACAACTTCACTACTAATGATCATAATAGGTAAGGATATGGGGAATCACGAAGAGTACTTAAACATAAAGCAACCAATGTAATTGAGCTTGATGACCTCTCAGCCATGAGAGCAGATATAGCAAAATTGCCAAATCAGATGAATAGAAAGGCGATGCACCAAAGACAATAGATGCAACATATACAACAGATGTCTACTTACTGTGAATTATGTGGTGAGTGTCATACGAGTGACATGTGTCCGACGAATCCTGAATATATCTACTATGTGGGGCAACATAGCAGAGGTCCGATAAATCAGCATGCACAATATGGGAGAACTTACAATCCAAATTGGAAGAATCTTCCTAAAATCTCCTGGGGTGGAAATTAACCCACTCAGAATCATTATAGGAACCAAGGAAATTTTAATCAACCTCAGAAGTCACCCCAGCAAATAGAAGAGAGTATGAATGACTTGTTGAAGAAATCATTACTTGACAATGGGGAAATTTGCGTCAAATAAAAATACTAGGCCTGCAAGCGCTCTTCCCAGTGATACAGAGAAGAACCCTCAAGTTAATGTAGTTACACTCAGAAACGGGAGGGAATTAGAAGAAGTTCCAAAGAAGAGAAAGGATAAGCCTATACCTAAAGGGGAGTTGATTCCTAAAGCAACACATGAGTCAAAGAAATATGAAGCAAGTTCAGAGTCGGTGAATGCTGCAATGCCGCCACCACCTTACCCCAAAGATTGTAGAATAAGAATGATGATCGCATGTTCAAAATATTTCTCTCTATGTTGAGCCATGTTTAATTAAATATTCCATTGGTAGATGTACTTCGCAAAATTCCAAAGTATGCTAAGTATATCAAAGATATAGTATCTCACAAGAGGATATTGAATGAATTTGAGACAGTCACACTTATTCCGGAGTGCGCTTCAAGGGTCCAAAACAAGCTTCCACAAAATCTTAAGGATCCTGACAGCTTCACCATCCCTATGCGGATTGGTAATATCGATGTGGGTCGCGCTCTTTGTGATTTGGGGGCAAGCATAAATCTGATGCCCTTGTGCATATTCAAGCAATTGGGTCTGGGAGCTCCAAGACCAACCATTGTGATGTTGCAACTAGCTGGTAGATCCATAGCCTACCCTGAATGAGTGATTGAAGATGTGTTGCTACAAATTGGGAAATTCATCTTCCCAACAGACTTCATTATCCTAGATTATGAGGCTGATAAACAAGTTCCAATCATATTGGGACGACCTCTCATGGATACAACTGATGCAATTATTAAAGTGAGAGAGGGAAAAATGATTATGAGGGTGGACAACGAAGAAGCAGTTTTTAATGTCTACAAGGCAATCCATAGGAGCTCTCTATGATATCTGTTGTGGAGGTGGATGAGCAACTTATCGACAGGAGTATATATCTAGACGATTCTCTAGATAAAGCACTCATGTTGTTCGATAGCTTAGAGATTGATAACGAGGTTGAGGAGATGATGCTCATACTAGATGCATCTTGTGCCTACATACAAGGATTAAATACCTTTGAGCCCCTAAATAGGACAAGTGGGTCTCCTCCAAAACCGTCTATTGAAGAAGCTCCAAAATTGGAACTTAAACCTTTCCCCCCTCACATTCAATATGCTTATTTGGGTTGCTCTAACACTCTGTCTGTTATTGTTTCTTTTGACTTGTCTAAATTGCAGGAAGAAAAGCTATTAACAGTGTTGCGTGATCACAAACGAGCAATTGGGTGGATGGAGTCTCTGACATTAGAGGCATTAATACGGCCTTCTGCATGCATAAAAACCTCATGGAGGAAGGGCACAAGCCAAGTGTAGAGCAACAATGCCGCCTAAATCCAATCATGAAAGAGGTCGTAAAAATAAAAGTGATTAAGTGGCTTTATGCAGGTATTGTATATCCAATCTCTAATAGCAAATGGGTAAGTCCCGTACAATGTGTGCGTAAGAAAGGGGGATGGCTATAGTGGTTAATGAAAATAATGACCTGATTCCCTCAAGAATTGTGACTCGGTGGAGCATTTGCATAGATTATAGAAAATTAAACAATGCCACCCAAAAGGACCACTTCCCCCACCCCTTTATTGATCAAATCCTCGGTAGATTAGCTGGACTGGAATACTAGTGTTTCCTAGATGGCTATTTGGGGTATAATCAGATTGCTATAGCCCTAGAGAACCAAGAGAAAACTATATTTATGTATCCCTATAGCATGTATGGTTTTGAGAGAATGCCCTTTGGTCTCAGTAATGCACTTGTGACTTTTCAATGGTATATAATGGCTATTTTTACTGACATGGTTGAAATATTTGTGGAAGTGTTCATGAATGACTTTTCTGTGTTTGGGTGTTCTTTTGAAAATTGTTTAATGAACCTTGATAAAGTGATTGCTAGGTGTGAAGAGACGAACATGGTACTAAACTGATAAAGGTTCCATTGCATGGTAAGAGAAGGTATAGTCTTGGGACACAAGGTTTTCAAAAATCGGTTTGCAGGTGGACAAAGCAAAGGTGGAGGCGATTGAAAAATTGCCCCCACCGACATCCGTCAAAGGCATTCGCAGTTTCTTGGGCCATGTAGGTTTTTATCGTTGTTTCATTAATTATTTTTCATAAATTTCTTCTCCTCTATGAAGGCTTCTTGAGAAAGATATCCCGTTCAAGTTTGATAATGCCTGTTTGAAAGCATTTGAGGAGTTGAAGGGAAGAATAGTGACTGCACCAATTATCATTGCCCCGGATTGGGCGTAGCCATTTGAGTTGATATGCGGTGCGAGTGACATAGCAATCAGATCTGTTTACGCGAGCAAAACTCTGAATCTAGCCCAGATGAACAACACTGTTACTGAAAAAGAGTTGCTTGCAGTGGTGTGGGTATTTGAAAAATTCAAATCCTATCTAGTGGGAACCAAATTCATCATCTACATAGATCATTCAGCTATAAGGTACTTGTTTGAAAAGAGAGACGCCAAGCCGAGGCTAATTCGATGGGTCCTTCTCGTGCAAGAATTTGATTTAGAGATCCGGGATCGAAAACGGACAGAGAATCAAGTGGCTGATCACTTGTCTAGATTAGAAAATTGGAACCATGTAGCCGAGAGGGGTCGATCAAACAAACCTTTCTAGATGAGCAGTTATTTGTTGTCACCAAGAGTGCAGCCCTGTGGTATGCAGACTATGTGAATTTTATTGCAAGTGGGGTGATGTCACCAGAATTGACACCCGATAATAGAAGACGATTTCTACATGATGTGAGGCTCTTGATAGTAGGCTATAATCTCATGTTTTAGATGATTATTACATTCCAATTTACTGCACTTTAGTTGAGTTTGAGCTTTAATCGCTATTGTTTTGCACTAATTGTGTGTGTTATGCCTTGTAGGAGTGATTTGGAGCTACGTAGATGTTATGGAATGAATTCAAGCGATATGGAGCTTTGAAGTATGAGTAAAAGGCCAAGGAATAAATTCGGGATCGTGTTCGAGGATCAACGGATGATAGTTAAGAATGAACGAATAATCGAGCAGGCATACAACACAGTGTCCAGTAAAATGCACATAACATTTTGCTTGAAACTCCTTTTGGGCTCCACAAAATATTATTGAAAAGGTAATTCAAAGAGCTACAACGTTTATGTTTTACGTTGTTTTAAATTCCCAACATAATAGTGTGAAAATTGTGTGACTGCACACTAACCGTGCATATGTGTCATAACAGTGTGAAAAGTGCGCGGCCAAGTGCGCAGGCACACTTCCAGGTGCATGGCTGCGCACATACAACTCCGGAAAAGTGTCCTATTTCACGTAGGAGAAGCTCTTATTGAACTTATGACTGTTTCCCCTTTGTATTATTGTCCATTCTATTGAGATGGTGTTCTAGCTTTACATACTAGTACTATTCGATGGTACTAACGTCCCTTTTGCCGAAGGCGCTGCATCTTTAAATGGATGCAGGTGGTTACATAGAAGACAATGTTGATCGCAGTTAGTGGTACATCATCATCTTCTCAGTAGACTCGGTGAACCCCATTTCATTCTGGGGTCATGTATTGTATCTTTTTGTTTATATTGTGGTCACTTTTTGAGGTATAGTCGGGGCCTTGTTGCCGGCACCATCTTTTCTCTCTTTTGTATATTTAGAAGCTCCGTAGATAATATGTGGGTTGTATATGGGTGTTGGGAAGGTTAAACCATTTATGTTGTGTTTGATCACTTGTTCCATTCGAACTATAAGAAATATGTATTTTAAGACTTAAAGGCGCAATGGCTAATCAAATGATTTAGCATCGTATGTATGAACTTCCTTCTGTATAATTTATGAAATCATGTCTTTTATTGATAATGGGTGAATTGGGTAGAAAGAATTTAACAGGCCTTCTCGACCGGGTTTACTCGGCTGAGCACCGGTCGCGCTCCTCGGTTTTGGGGCATGATAAACTTGGTATCAGAGCCTAAGGTTTTAAAGTGTCCTATGATGTCTCAGAGCCATGTCTAGTAGAGTCCTTATTATCGGTGTGTTGTCGACCACATCTATAATTAGGATGCTACATGGGCATTTAGGAATAATACTCTTCTTTCATGTTCTCGATCATGCGATAAAGTTGATGGTAAGATTGTTCCTCCTTTAACTCGAGCTTTACTTTAACTTTTAATATATGGCACCTAAGAAGAAGGCAAGAACTAGCCAAAGAGCCAATGTCATCCCAGGAGTGATAGTTGATCCTATATTTGATGATACGGGTGAGCACCCGAGGAGTGAGAATATTCCTCCAGTTACTACAACATCTGACTCTACTACAACTGATCAGACCACACCTGTCCCTACACCTACTGAGGGTGCAACGGTCCCTCCAACTGATATACCAGTGCCACCTCCAGTTCCAACTTCCGATTCTGGTGTTTCTAATATTGATCTTAGGGGAGCTATCTAGATGTTAACACGGATAGTGGCTTCTCAAGCCCAGAGATCAAATGTTGCACCGACTTCTTCTAGCCAACAAAGGGATTCTAGTGGTTCCAGGGTGAACAAGTTTCTTCAGTTGGATCCTCCGGTGTTCACGGGTGCTAATCCTGAGAATGACCCACAGGACTTCATTGATGAGATGCATAAGACTCTCCGGGTTATGCGCGCTAGTGATACGGAGAGAGTGGAGTTGGCTGCCTACCTCCTAAAAAGGGTGGCCTATTCGTGGTTTGAGCTGTGGGAGGACTCTCGGGAGGAGGGGAGCCCTCCAGCAAGGTGGAGCGCGTTTGCTGATGCTTTCATGGACCATTTATTGCCGACCGAGATTAGGGCAGCTCGTGTCGCAGAGTTTGAGAATCTTAAGCAAGGGAGTAGGAGTGTGTGGGTGTATCACATGGAGTTCACGCGCCTGTCAAAATATGCCATTATAATGTTGCCCACTATGGAGGCTAGAGTGCGCTGGTTTGTGCAGGGCCTTAGCCCCTTGGTTATGAATGAGGCCGCTACAACTGCCTTGAATTTAAATATGAACTATGGGAAATAGTAGCATTTTCTTAAGCTATAGAGGACCGTAAGTTGAAGAACAGAAGGGAGAGAGAGGGTACCAGCAAGGCCCGGTCCGTAAGCAACTTTGGGGAGTCATTTGGTGGGGGAAGATAAGCTTTCAGGGGAGGGTCATCAGGGCCATCCTAGCCTTTTGCTCAGTCTTCAGCTAGTGCACTGCCAGCAGGGCCTAGTCAGCAGCAGGCGAGTCGTTTCAAGCACAATCAGGGTAGCAGGGGACTCTACTAGCAGGGCTGATCAGGAGGGACATTCCAGCAGCAGCGGAGGGCCCCATGACCCAAGTGTGGGAGGATGCATTTGGGAATCTTCTACATGGACCTGCTAGTATATTACGGGTGCGGATTGAGGGGTCATATTCACAAGGAGTGTCGTGCATCCCGGCAGGGGCACAACACAACCATCCAATTTTGTAGTTGCTACATCTTCAGCACCCCCTCCAGCTCGAGGCACCCCATCACCAGCAGGGTGAGGTGCAGCTAGGGGTGGAGCACAGAGTTTGGTAGGATCCAACTTTTTCTATGCTATAAGGGGTCTCCAAAATTCAGAGGCTTCTCCAGATGTTGTCACAGGTATATTGACTGTCCAATCTCATGATGTATATACT